AAAAAAGTCCTCACGATTGGACCAATAAGCAACATCATGATAAACAGAGAAAAGATTGAAGTTGTCAAGGATTTCGTTTTACTTGAATCCAAAAATCACTGCCCATGGAAGCAGCAGTCAAGAAATCAAACAACGCATTGCATTGGGCAAATCTGCTGTAAAAGACCCTTTAAAGTGTTAAAAAGCAAAGATGTCACTTTGAGGACAAAGATGTGCCTGACCGAAACCATGGTGTTTTCAATCACCTCATATGCATATGAAAGCTAGACAATGAATAAGGAACACCAAAGAAGAATTGATGTCTTTGAATTATGGTGTTGGCAAAGAATATTGACTATACCATGGACTGCCGAAAGAACAAAGAAATCTGTCTTGGAAGAAGTACAGCCAGAACGCTCCTTAGAAGCAAGGATGGTAAGACTTCATCTCATAATTTGGACATGTTATCAGGAAGGACCAATCCCGGGAGAAGGACATCATGCTTAGTAAAGTACAGGGTCAGCGAGAAAGAGAAAGACCGCCAATGAGATGGATTGACACCGTGGCTGCAACAATGAGCTCAAGCACAAGGATTGTGAGGATGGTGCAGGACCGGGCAGTGTTTCGTAGGGTGGCTATGAGTCAGAACCAACTTGATGGCACTGACAACAACAATCTTTATGGAAGCAGACTGCCACATCTTTCTCCGTGGAGCAGCTGGTGGATTCAAACTGTCATCAGTTAGAGCGGGGCTCTTAACCAGTGTGCCACCAGGGCTCCAAGGCAACTGGCGACAATAAATCCTACTTCATATGGTATCACAAGGATCAAAAGAGCAATGATCAGAGTTTTGCAAACTTAGTGGTTTATCAGAGTTACCCGGTGCACTCCTTAGACATACAGCCCCTCCCAGAGCAGATGCACTAGAATCTGTGGGAGAGGTCAGGAATCTGAGGGTTTAACGAGGGCTCATTGAAGAAAGATACCAGTGAGAATCCCACCCAAGCTTGCTGGGCTCCCAATCCCAATCCCCTGCCCACCACCTGCCAGGACAGCCACCCTTCACTCACCTGTAGGGAGCCTTCCCAGAGCAGACCCTACCCCATTACTGCTGCACTGAAACCTTTTGCTCTTTCTCGGGGCAGACCCTGCCCTTGGACTAGGCCCAGGACCTGGCCTGTCCTCCTCTCTCACCTTCCCCCTAATCTGCAAACTCTATCTCTTTAGGCGACTGGCCCCCTTTCATTTCCAGGCATTGCTCTCGCTGTTACCCTCCTGGAACGCTCTTTCCTCCCCTCCTGGGGCCACATCACCCCTGGGAGTCACATATACCCCACCCACACCCGTGGCCATGATCTCCCACAGCCCTGTCCTGGTGCACTGAGTCACTGTTTCCCCTCTTAGCTCTGAGCCCCCCAAGTGGGGACTGTACTGGGGTCATAATCCCCAGGCCTGTCACAATAGCGGGGAGGGGTGCTCACAAATATTCCTTCCCCTCCTCTCTTCTGTATTCAGATAGAAGGCTCCTAGGAAATCAGGGACAGGACAGTGGGTCTCGGGACCAAAGCGAGAGTGAGGGAGAAGAGAGAGGGGCTGCTCCCTGCTGCCCCCAGGGGTCCCCTCCTGAGGCCCTGGGTGCAGATTCTGCACATCCTGATCCTTGGTCCACCATGTCTACCTGCTCTGTGGCTCAGCTCCATGGTCTCTCTTTCTCGGACAGGTAATTCCAAGGTCAGTCCTATAGACAAAGAAACTCGCTCATCATCTCAGATGACACAGGTCTGGTGATTGAGCATAGACTGAGAACTGAATAGGGGGGCCTCCTGCCGTCTGCCCGGCCCTGACCTGGGGCCCCTCCATGCTGCTCCTGGTGCTCTCTGGCCCTCCCCGGACCCCCAGAGCTTCCTGCCCCATCCACTCCCAGCACTGGGCTCTGCCTCCAGGACCTCTGCCCTCTCTGGAAAGCCTTGGTCTCCCCCACCACCGGGACTTCAAAGACCTTTCTCAAACAGCCTTGGGACCCTGGGCTCCTCTTCCTCCTTCACAGCTATTTAGATTTGTGTTGTGTTGTGTCCCCGAAAAATATGTGTTGGAATCCTAACCCCTATACCTGTGGATAGAATCTCGTTTTGGAATAAAGTTTTCTTTGTCATGTTAATGAGGTCATACCAGCATAGGGTATGTCCTGAACCTAATCCCTTCTGAGGTATATGAAGAGCAGCATGTTGATGTAGTGTGCCCTTGAGTAGATTCCAACTCATAGTGACCCTGTAGGACAGAGTAGAACTGCTCCATAGGGTTTCCAAGGCTGTAATCTCTACAGGAGCCTTTTCTCTCACAGATCGGCTGGTGGGTTCAAATTGCCAACCTTATGGTTAGCAGCCAAGGGCTAACCATTGTGCACCAGGGCTGCTTAAAGAGAAACATAAAAACCAAAGCCAAACCCATTGCTGTCGAGTCAATTCTGACTCCTAGCTACCCTATAGGACAGAGTAGAACTGCCCCATAGGGTCTTCAAGTGAATTTGAACTGTCAGCCTTTTGGTTAGCAGCCGAGCTCTTAACCACCGCACTAGAAAAGCTGTCCCTGGGTGGCACAAACAGTTTGCATTCAGCTGGCAACTGAAAGGTTGATGGTTCGAACACACCCAGTGGCACACTACTCAAGAAAACTCCATGGAGCACAGTTCTATTCTGTCACACAGGGAGTGGCCATGAGTTGGAATAAACTCCATGGCAACAGGTGTGGATTTTTTGGTTTGTATAGACACAGAGACGAGCAAGCACAGATGGGGGAAGGGTAGATGCCACGTAGAGATTGCCAAGGAACTGGGGAATGCCAAGGCTAGAGAAGCTGAAACAAGGATTGCCCCCAGAGCAGACAGAGAGAGAGCCTTCCCCTGGAGCTTGTACCCTGACTTCAGACTTTTATTCTCCAAAACTGTGAGAATAAATTTCTGTTCGTTAAAGTCAACCACTTGTGGCATTTCAGTTACAGCAGAACTAGGAAGCTAAGACAGTGATCTTTTTCTTCCATCTCCTCTTGGCTCCTCTTGACCCCACCCCCTTCACACCCAGCACTCCCCTAGGAGTCCCCAGCAGGCCCCTGGCTGTGGGGTACATTGCCCCAGCCCCCCATTCTGGATAATTTGCCTTTCTGCAAATAGAATTGTGTCCATTTTGCCAGCTGGTTAGTCAAGGTCACAGGAAGGGAACCAGCCAAGAGTAAGAAGTCACCATGGTAACCTCAGTCTTCCCTCTGAGGAACTGGCCTTTGTCCCAAATTTGAGGGGCAGCTCTGGCATCTTCAAAAGCTCCCATAGCTGACATGTTTGTATTCCTTTTTCCCCGGTGATACTTTTCTTATTCATATTCTTTTATCACATGTGGGTTTTTTGGTTTTTTTAGGTTTTTGCAAGTGTTTTCATCTAAATCAAATAAACTATTGTATAATAGATGTTTAACACCTGGACCTGAATGGTAAGTGTCTTTGTAATAAAGGAAGCATAGAAGCCTGCAAGTCAGAGCTGAAATGGATCTTTGAGATCTTCATTTTACAGATGAAAAGCTGAGGCCCAGAGAGGGGGAGTGACTTTTCTAAGGTTGCCCAGCAAGTCGTTGCACTGGTAGGCTCAGAGCAGGTAAGAATGAGGTCAATTTGATCCTTTTGAAAAATTGTCAAGCAAGGGCCACTATTTAATTTGCTACTTAGTAATTGGTAGATGATTGTGGTGGGCAGCTTCTGATGTGACCTCCAATGATAGTCATATACTTGTGCAATCCCCTACCCTTGAGTGCGGGCTGGACCTAGTGACTTGCTTCTATCCTCTAGAATATCACAAAAGTGATGGGATGTCACTTCCAAGATTAGACGAGTGACTTCTATCTTGTTTGCACTCTTTCTCTGGGTCTTCCTGGGTCGCTCACTCTGATGGAGGCCACCTGCCATGTTTTATCCTACTGTATAGAGAGATCTATGCTGCAAGGAACTAAGGAAGGCCTCCTGCCAACTGCTCATGAGGAACTGAGGCCCTTAGTCCAACAGTCCTTGAAGAACTGAAGGAATCTGCCACATGAATGTGCTTAGAAGTGGATCCTTCCCCATTTGAGTCTTGATATGAGAATGTGGCCTGGTTGACACTGTGATTACTTCCTTGTGAGAAACTCTGAGCCAAAGGGCACAGGTAAGCCACACCGAGGATCCTGACTCATAGAAACTGTGAGATAATAAATGTATATTTTTGTAAGCCACTAAGCTTCATGGTAATTTCTTATGTAGCAATAGGTAACTAACATATATTTTGGTACCAACAGTGGGATGTTGCTGTAACAAATACCTAAAAATGTGGGAATGGCTTTAGACCCAATCAGTGGGCAGAGCTTGGAAGGATTTTGAGGAGCATGACAGAGAAAACTTAAATAGCCTCGAACAGGCTATTAGTAGAACTG